ACATAGCTACCAAGTGAATTAGCTTCCCTTCATAAAGTACACTTCAAATGCTTCTTTTCATCTTCTCTAACAATCTTACTCTTTTCATTCCTTTTTTTTCATCATACAAAAAAAAAATTAAGAAGAACGAATAAAAAAAAGAAAAAAAGAATGCGTCATACAAAAAATGACACTTTCATTTGATTGCTTTATGCTTTTATCACGCATGTACACGTCCTCGTTGTCGTTGTTGTCGTCGTTTCGTCTACGTTAGCTTATCCGTTAATTGTCATCATCTGTTTGTTCTTCATTTTCATTTTCACGTTGACAAATAGATGATTGCGTCAACAAGTCCAATTTCCCCTGAAGTTTTCGCAGTCTCCCGACATTAGCCTAAGATTTTTCGCAATATGCCGACATCATACATGAATTTCGTAACCAACATGGGTTAATTTACAACATCTTACAACATGACTTAAACTACACAACTTTAGAATATCAATATTGTTTTTAACTAAAAATATCTCAGTTTTTACTAACAGCGTACATTCAGAGTATGGATTTTTACTCCATGGTATATGGTGAGGTACAAGTCTAGGTAATAACATTTTTGGACACTTTTATATAGTATATATTTCGTTTTCAGGCCAATTACTTTGATATACAATCAGTTAAAGAATCGATAGCAGTATGGCAAAGTCGAAGAATCATACAAGTCATAATCAAAGTATGTCTTCATTTTATTCACTTAGATCTAGGTTTTGTTTTGTCGTGTTTGAGGTTTTGTTTGCCGTGTTTACACCACGAAAGTATCGGTCGACTTTGTCTATGGTAGTGCATCGGCTGAGACTATCATGGTCCGGAAAAGTATCACGGCTTTTTGGAATCTGAAATAAAACTCATTCCTTTAAACTGCATCATTATTTTTCAAAGGGTAATCGATGATGCTGTCGGATGTTTCCGTAGTAGTAAATTTTTTCGGTTGATTGTACCTTGGAAGGCTTTGGGTAACAGTAAAGTGGGAGTATGCTATAAACGTGATGTAAAAGCGGACTTTGTGATCCTTCATTTTGAACTGGAATTAGTTGCATCCATATTCGTAAGTTATGTTGTGCTGGTGAGTTTGTCAACAGTTTGTTATTGTGGGCTGGGAAGAATCACTTTGAGACATACTTTTCATGCCATCTGATTTTCATTACTGTTTCAGATCATTTAAACAAGTATCATCTCAAATGTATGCTTATCTTGAGCGGTTTTGTGAGTGTCTAGTTGTGGATATCCTGAGGTACATCACTTATTGTTTTAGATAGAAAAGATCACAGAAATGGTATTAAAAAGCCGAAAAAACACCGTTTCATGTCCATGAAGGGAGTTGACCAGAAGTTTCTGCGGAATCTTCGATTTGCCAAGAAGCACAACAAACAGCATCACCAGCGGAGAGAATCTAAAGCTTAAAATAAATTAATTTTGTGATTGCTTGATTGTTTTTTGTTGTGTACTAGTAAACTGTTAAGCATTGATTGCATGTTGCGTTTTATGCAAGTGGTGCATAATTTTCTGCAAATTTTACTTGTGGAACTGTTTATTTCATAAAAAGCTGTTTTTATTACCTGAGTTAGTGGGGGTGTTGCATTTATGCCATTTACATGCCCGTTGATTGCGCCAGTATTTCTTACGGTTCCTCGGTTGTCCTGTGCTTGCTACGCCTCCTTTTTATACCTTTGAAACAGTCACATTTCGTGTGCAGTGGAGGTTAAAACTTCCACTTTAATTCTGAGGCTTGCCCCATCTTTATTGAAATCATGTAGTTGGGATTCTGAACTTTGTTTTCTGTGCACAGATTTCCGTGACGTACTGATAACTTCTGTAAAGATGAATGAGGAGTGCATTATCCGAAAGTTGGTGGCCGATGGAGATGGTGGTGGTGATGATCGTCGTTTCGTAACCATTCTTACATTACTGTTGAAACTTACCAAGGAGCCAGAGGTGTCGCAAAGGTTGTATCATTTGCGTAATAGTTCTGGGGCCTCTTTTGTCATCTCTTCTATATAATTTCGGAGAATGCTAGAAGTCCTTGTTAAAGTCCGGGAAACTCTCTGAAAAGGTAAGAAGTTTTCGGGTTAAAAGGGTGTTCGATGACGTGCAACTTAAAGTCCTGATTTTATAATTTTGTTTAGCTTACTACCACGTATTATGAAAGTGATAGATGGGGTAGAAACCGCTATGAAGAAACAGGTGTTGATTTCTGCAATGAATGAGCGACAAATACAGGAATACGCTATGCTCACCAATCATATAGGTAATTTTATTGTATTAAGTTCACGGACTTAACAACGTCGGAAATGAAATGCTTAACTGCTTTTAAACCAAATGTCACCAGAGCTGTCTTGTTTTCCTGCATAAACATTTCCTAATAAAATCCACATTTAATAATGTCATTCTCGAATTATTGTACACTTTTTCGCAGGTCTTTTCATATATTTGTGATCATACATCCTTTATTATAATCTTTCAACTGATTATACAACAGCATCTTTTTGTTCCCATGAAATTAAAGGGATAAAAGGCCAGTCATTCTGTGACCTGGAGCTGAAGATAGTAAGGTCAGCTCTTCCACTGTGCCTCTAAATTTAATCAAAATCAAACATTCCCATATCACCATTTGTTATTGTATACATGGCATTCTGCAGCAACATCTTCAGTACTGTTTAACACCAAAAGAAAATCAGCAATTTAGTTTGTTTATGGCGTAATGATTAAAAATTTTTAAATTATTATAGAACAAGAAATTGTAAAAGCGAATGAAAAGATGTCTACTGCAAAAAAAGATTTATCTATTGCGAAGGGAATGAGGAAAAATAAAGAAGAATATGAATTATTGGCCAAAATGATTCAAAAAGTGCCGTCTAGGCCAGAAACCACCAGGTTTTTTCTTATTTCATTTTTGTAACCGAGGAAATTTCCTTTGAATCGCATTTCGAAAAAAAAAGAGACCTCAAGAAGCGGCTCGCAAAATTCCATACCAATGATATGGTGGTGGTTTTTAGAAGCGCTTCAGTTTCCTTTGAGAAGTGAAGGTCTCACCTTCATTCTGGAAATTCTAGTCGGAACTTAAGTGCAGACTGCCAATCGTCAAGCACTACTTTATTTCCGGAGTATTTTGTCAAAACTCTTTCGTTTTTTTTCGCGCTTTAATATGCACAGTACAAAACTACTTCATGTTGGACGAAATTCATGCATTTCGCTTATTGAACAAAATTCTTTATTTTCATTGCACAAGAAGTACAACCTTCAGTAAAGATAACTAAAAATAAATGGTGAATTAACTTCAATAACTGAACATCCTTTAGTCCAAGGGGTCTTTCTGCACAATGAAGCATTAGAAAGTGAACTGCAAATTCAATAGTTTTTTCAAATTTGTTACATCTGTAGAGTTCTAAACTCTCATTTTAACTCTAGAATATATTGAGAGATGGGATGATAATGCTTCCATCCTAAATGGGTTTTTTATGCTGGTAATGAATACTTTAAATGATTGTGCTATTGTCTCTCTAATACTGATTGAAATCGCAGGAAATTAGAGATAATCAAGAAGGAACTTGAAGAACTTCATGAGAAGCAACGGAATTTAGAAGCGAAGGTTCGTTTATCTTTGATTTTCTCTTATTGAATGTTGTCGATACCAATTAAAAACGTTATCTTTAAAAATATTTCTGGCAGCACTTCTAAGCTGCAAAATTTCATTTTCGTTCATACAGAATTATCTATCTTTTCTCACTAGCAATAACGAATTATGATTTTATCCGTTGCATCAGCAGAATATTTCAACCATTTGGAAATCCAATATTTGTGTATAAATCGCTTATTAGTCTATGAGGCAGAAATAATACATGGTAGACCATTTCCATGTATATTTCAACATAATTTGTGTATAAATCTATTTGTGTTCATACTGATAATGTCGTAACGGTATCACTCTTTGTTAATCGTTACATCAGGCATTTTTCAGCTAGCTGATCGACGCAATCACCTGCATGCTCTCAATATTATATTGGCAAATTTCTGCAGATTTTTAAAAGGTATGTTTTCAGTTCCTCCAGAAAATACCAGTTTATCCCTCTCCTCTTTCCTAATGTTTTTCGAATCTTTCTTTCCCGAGACTTTTCGTTCATTTTCTATCGAAATTTCAACTAGAAGCATGCATCTGTATTTGCAGACGAAGAGAACGATGAAATAACGAATAACGATGAGACCTTGGATGGTACGAGCACGAACACTAAGAAGGAGAAAGCTTAATTTGATCTCACTTTCACATTGTTTCGGTACGGGTTTTTCAATAATTCATTTAATAATGTTTGTTCAAAAAAAAGCTTACCATATGTCATGTGTAAATGCAATGAATGCTTGAAGAAATATATTTTGCACCAATATGGCACTAATAAACACAAATATGCCCAGATGAACGAATCGAAATCAGTAACGATAAGAGTTTTTTGACTTCTCAGAGGAAGGCATTAAAAATTTTACAAATGAAGTTGTGAATGGTTTTATGCGTGGATCTATCAGGATAGATTCACGCATAAAATGTTAGTAAACTTCCACTGTTTCCACTACAGTGGATAATACCGAGGGCAAAAAGCCAAAGAATAACCGTAGCAGATAAAAATGATGGCATCGACGCAGTGTTTCTCAATCTGCGGAAAACCTTTGCTTTTTCGAGCATTCACCAGAGAAACACGGGAATCATTACTGATCAGCGCTACTTTTCCATATAGAGAGCGGAAATTACTTTATTTTCTTGGGAATGCTTTCCTACCTTCATTTTTTCATGATCTAATGACTTTTTTTAATATTATATACATGTAATCCTTATCCCACAATGGTCCTTTGAAGAAAATTCACTAATCGTTTGTAATCTGAATGGCTTGCAGCCAAGATTTTACGTTGAAAAGAAATTTCTCTCAAGGACTAGAATTTGATTTCAAACGTAGAAATGAGGTGAAATAATGTGTTTGGATAAGATATATCACATGGATGGTAATCTACATCAGAGAACATCTCGCTGGCTTTCCGTCCACGCTATACCGCAATTTTCGTAGTTGTCCCGTTGGTTTATATTTTTGAAGGAAATTCAGTTGTTTTTGATTAAGAGCACCTCTTCGATGTCTGAAACAGCATTTTTATCAAACTATAACGCCGTTCATGACCTAAGACATGTGAAAATCTTTTAAAAATTTTACTAATCGCTTGAAAATTGAAGACTGAAGTTTGCTATGACTGGAATTTATAACGCCAAGAACGGCATTTATCACATTAGCAGTAGCAGTACACTATTCTGCGAAGTATGATTGAGAAAGTTGATGGACCGAAACCCCTTTTTTGTCAAATCTTTCATGAATTAATTCTTTCCACTACACAACTTCTGATCTATCCCACTTAACGCCCCTTATGCTTCATTTTCATATTTGCTAAACAATGGGAAGGAGTAACATACCGCCTGATGAGATCAACAGCATCTTCGTATTTCATACCGGCTTCCATAAGCGCGATAGCTACAAGTACTGGAGCTCGACCCAATCCTGCTACGCAGTGCACAGCAATACATTGATTTGGATACAGTTTGAAACTTTCTTTTGCTAAAGATAACCACTTCGTGATCAACTGAAAACGAACATCTTCACTGAACTACAAGAAATAAATCGTTTTGGATCCACTGTTAAATTCATATATGCGATGCCATGAATTCACTATAACTTCATGAATGATTTGATGAGCACTGATGAGCATCGCCTCGAATCAGCATTTTGTCTGCGACATGTGGAAGAGATATTTCAGAACATAAAGTAAATTTAAATACTCCATCCAAAGAAGTCTACACTTGATCAGAAGTAGAATCAGTTTCACAGAGTCACACCAATTCCACGATGAACAAGTCATATTCACGAAAGAAAATAAATGATTCAATTAGTATCTTCTTTACGGTAAATAAGAAGCAACCTCAGGAGGTGGTGCACTACCATCATCGAATTCCCAATCGAGTACATCAATACCATTCACGATCAGTGGTGTCGTTGCGTATGTTGGTTCACATACCCTAACTACTGCTCGAGCATTATGCTTTTCAAGTTCCTAAAATTTCGAAAATGTAGTCAAAAGAAGTTTAATTCCAACTTTCCAAGAACTTCCGGTTCTTAATTCATCTTCCACCAGTGAAAATGAAAATAGCAAGTTAGAAGTACTAAATAAAAGAAAGGACCAATCATGTTCCGTTACCTAATCTTTTTCGCTCAGAATACGATTATACTGATAAAATAAATCGTAAGTTATTGCACTTCTGAGCAATTCAATATGAAGAAAACTATTTTTTAGCAATAATTACGACGATCATCACATAAATCAAAGCACACACTTTGCCCTGATGGGAATTACCTTTTCTGAACCTACCGCTGCTGCTCAATAGTAAAAATATACTTTGAGTGTTGCACAAAGTTGAACGTAGTAGTAACTTATAATTTGAATGAATTGTTGTATTTAAAATATTTGGAAAAAAGAATAACTTCGATGTAAGTGTTGATTGTTAAATCAGATGGTCGGTCAGTGATTAAAAACCTCATTCTACCATACTGAATTTCGCTAGGCGCTGGCTTGAAATATGCTGGAGTTGGTCGTCTGGCAGTTGATGACTCCATTCTCCTTTCTCCCGCTATCATAACTCACAATGGGCACCAAATTGCTATTACACAAAAAGCGTTGCTTCTTTCCTTTCGAACTGTAAGGCACTAGTTGTAATGAACCCTGATAATAACGGATAACGACAGTGAGGACAGATGAAAGCAGAACGTGCTAGCAGTAAGGGGAGATTCTGATATGCAACTTGTACGTGAGGAAGCAACCGAAGAGCAAACTGAAATAAGGCGCCGTTCAGAACCTTCCTGGAAACTTAGTTTTTCTTGCTTCTTGGTTTCCTTCTTTCTTCTAAGATTGTTTTTGGGAAGGGTATCCGACAAGTCTCTGGTCTGTCTGATTTTGCTTCCTTTAATAATAATAATGCACCTTATTTTCGTAGCCACACAATTACCGAGTAAATGACTCCACCAGTAAATATACCTGAAAATAAAGCTGCACAGAACTGACAGGCTTAATGTCCACTTTCTTCCACAGAAATAACATGTTCAAGAGCAACGTCAACGAATTCACCATAAGAAAATGCATCTCAATGAGACTGCATTACATGATAGCTGCAAAGACTAAAGAACATTAGAATAATGTAATGCATAAAAGAGGGAAGATTCAACATCAATGATAGCTGAAATTTATGAGTTCTACAAAATGTTCAGTGACTTAAAACCATCACATTAAAGATATATAATGCATCTTAAGAAATTAACCCATAAAAGCATATGTGGCTTAATTTTTTAAAAAGTTGGGATAGAAAAAAGAAGATGAGACTTTATATATTACATATATTTCAACTACGTTAATTTGATTACCATTAATTTAGAGGTTCCATATTTGAGAGTAGCTAGAAGGCACTACACTGCAATAGCATATTTGATATGCTGACTTTCAGCTCTCAAAATATTTCTCATTGAAACAATCTATTCTGGACAGGAAAACAAAAATTATTGGAAGAAATCTCAGAAATGATATGAAAAATATGAATATTCAATGTTTTCTTGCTTAGGACAGCAATAAGAGTCATTCACATACTGAGAGCAGTGAATATTATATAAAAATGGTGGCGTAAGAATGAAAACAGTTCACTTCCTCTTTCTCTGTACCTCCCTTACCAATTATGAAAAAATTTAGGAAATGGCAGAGCTCTGCTAAGTTTATTATTCAAACGCCAAAGTGCAATTTTTCCCATGTAAAAAATCTGAACTGTGATACTACCTATCACACAAAGATATACACATAAGTAGTAGCCCGCGTTGAAAGGAACTAAATATCCGAACAGTACGCGACAATCCATTCCTCCACTGGTGTAATGGTCCAGCAGTACCATTCTTATGCGAATGAAAGAGAGAAAGAGAAGGGAGTGATGAAGGAAGGTGAGAAAAATGTTACAGATGAGGAATGGATAAGAAGGAAGAGAACGGATATTTAATGTTGACCTTGATAGCAGCCATGTAACCTTTAAGATTATGCCTCCTCGTCTCTGTTGGCAATTTATTTGAAATGAAGTAACAGCAGTAAATTTAATATCAACGATGGTATCTGAAAAATATATTAATGATCGCAATCATTCCCTCATTATGTTAACAGTTCCCTAATAAAGCATAACTCAGTCCGAGACTTTAAATTCCATACTTGTCAACGGAATGCTTTCATTTGCATTTGTAGTTAGAAGAGTAATCAGCATGGAAAACATAATAAACAAAAGATGAATCTATATGAGGCAATAAGTCATTAATGTTGCTATAGAAGTTGTAAGTCATCAAACTGTATCAGTGTTGTACAGTCCCAATATGAAAATTCCGACGTATGAATTGCAACCTATGGGATACTACAAGAGATACTGTTGGCTGGTTCAAGTAAACAGAGCTCAACTAAATGCTCGTGCCATACTTAAATGGCTTCTGCTCACACCATCTGCTTCGATAATGGTATTCATCGTTTCATAGAAAATATTTTTACTGTACAGAAATTCACTTTAATCTTATCAATGTTTCGAAGATCGCTGCTGATGTCGCTATCCGCTGCTATCCGATAAGGTTGTTTGCGCTTGTTGTAAACTACCGTTGTCTAAAATTTCGCTGACCTTGAAATGTCAAGAGTTATTCTATTAAATTGCTGTAAGTAGACACTACCCTCCGAAATAAAGAAATCATAGGAGAAAGGTATCAAGTGAAGTATTTGGGGATAAACGGCTTGATAAAACAAACGATATCTTTTTCCCTTCCATCAAATTTGACTGAAGTCCTCACAAAGCTTTATAGAGTAAGAGTTAATATTGATTGGGTCAATGAAAAAAAAAAAGAAGATTGAGTTAATATTGATTGGGTCAATGAAAAAAAAAAAAGATTGAGTTAATATTGATTGGGTCAATGACATCTGACCTGCATCATATTTCATACAAAAAGGACATGACAATACCTCATAGAATGAATTACGGCCCTTATCCACCAGCACATACGGCAGAAAATAATAAGTCTATTT